AAACTTCTTCACTAATGGTGTTTAAAAATGTTTAACTGTGTCATAACACAATGTTCCATCGCAAATTTCGCAAATTTAACGGAATAAAAACTATGAAAAGCCAAAATCCTAAAAGCAGTAGCTCCCCTTTAAATCAGAGCAGCAGCAGCAGCGCAGCTCTGTGTCACACAGACGCGCGCACACAGGCAGAAAGTAGTGTTTTAGCAAAAATGCAAAAACAGAAAGAAGAACTTTCAAGATTACTTTTTTAAGCGAATATAACTGATGTTGTGGTTTATACATTTGTCATCCAAGTCTAGAAATGGCCAATTTCCACACTTGTAACAAAAGGCACTCTTAGTGTTTAACGTTTCCTTCTATTTTATTGAGGTAGCAAACTAGTTTAAACTCAAAATCTCTTTCTAAAAAACAAACACAACTGTTGGATACAACCCTCTCATAGCTCCACTGTAGATAAAACTCGGCTCCAGTGAACTCTGTTCACGCCAAAAAACAAACTAAAAAACAAAAACTCCCTTTTTCTGTATGTAATTTAAACTGTGATAACTGAAATGTATTGTTGCTTCTATGCTTTTGTCATTTATCAGCCTGAAATTCGTCAATTTCAAAGCTTTTGTAATTTATGCTTTTATTATTACACCATGGTTTCACTATGGATCCTTCACTTTTATGGCCAACACTTATCCAGATAGCGAACGTGTTTTTAATCTAATCTGATCTATAGATATTAGACATTTGGCAGACCTCAAAACAGACCATAATTTAGTTCACTCAATTAGCAGGCTTTGAATAAACAGGTGTCCGCTCTTACCTTTTGTCGAACAGGGCGCCAGGCACCGTCAGAAGTCCACCAAATATCAGCTTTTCCACGTCCGACCAGGTCTCCCAGATCATGAACCAGTGCTCACTAGTACCGGGAACTAGTTTCCATCGGCAGAGACCAATCGCACATGAGAAATCCCCGGAATGTGGACATGGGAAAACTAAATTTTAAACGCTCAGTCCAAAAAACAGGACTCAAAAAAATATAGTGAGAGAGCGAAAAAGAGTCCCGGAGCCGGTCGCCTCTCCAGCCCGCTTTACTAACATTTCACCATCATAAAAAGCATATTTCTTAGTTTTGGTACTTATAAGTTACAAATCTGTGTGATTTTCTTTTACATTTATTCAAAATTAATTTTTTAGTAGTGTATTAAATATGCGCAGCAGTACTAACAGCGTCTTTACGCACGCTTTTACTGTGAAAATGAAAATAGTTCCTACAAGTCCCACCCATCAAAAGAAAGCTCTTTTTATTGGCTACTTAGACACGTCAATCAACATTGCACTAGCCTGGTAATCAACAACAACAAGGCAAAAACGGACCCTGTGCAAATGTATACGGTTTGTCTTTTTCTCAAGGGTCCTGCGGACGGAAAACTGCTCTTATCTTTTCATGGAACCTCTCTTTTTGAAGCTAAGGACTCAAGGAACACGTGGATATGATGTTTGTGGGTAAACAAAGGTCAAACTTGGTGAAATGTAAAAGAGGAGTCTGAATCTCTTTCGGAGCGTTTTTTTTTTTGCAACTGAAAAATACACATGTTTGGATTATTTCAGAACAATGGATTATACTTTGGGAAATACAAGTGGATATTCTTTTTCAATGAAGACTTACGGAGAGAAAGAGACTGAGCAAGGATGGGGAAAGTCTAATTTGTTGGAGCAGCAGTAGCCTGGTCGTACCACACCATAGTAGAAATTACATTTCATACTAAGATCTGGAGGTCCCTTGAGCTCCGTGAACAGGTGGGAGGGGTTAACTCCTTTTGCAGATTGAAACCATTGGATCTGAGTTTACCGTGACGTATGTAGTGCACCCGAGTCTGTTGTTAGCATTTAGCCTAGCTTTAGCATTTTGCCTAGCCATCTCCTTTGCTGCTAACGGAGCCCGTGGGGAGTAGCGCCACAATCTTTATCAGCGATTACATTTGCTAAACATTCCTCTTGCTCCTGCTTCAACTTCTTGATAGAACCAGACCGGATTACTTTACTATCGCATTTTTCGCCATTGCCAAACTACAACCTGCCCGTTCGGCGCAAACTCTTGACGTCACCGGCACAGACCTACAACGCGCTCTCTGAGTAGCCGGTCAAAATACGACCGATTGTACTCACTAACACAGGGACCAGACCCAGACGTTACATGCAGTGAAATGATGATTGAGCGGAGTGTACGGATGGATAAGGCCAGGCTAGAGCAGCAGAAGACTAAAGGTAAAAAACTTATACAAACGTGATTTATTTTGTGCCCATATTATGTGTTATATCTTTTTAATGCAAAGTCTGATATTGTTTACACTCACACTACCGTTCAAAAGTTTGGGGTCACCCAAGTGTTTTCCATGAAAAGTCACACTTATTCACCACCATACGTTGTGAAATGAATAGAAAATAGAGTCAAGACATTGACAAGGTTAGAAATAATGATTTGTATTTGAAATAAGATTTGTTTTACATCCAACTTTGCTTTTGTCAAAGAATCCTCCATTTGCAGCAATTACAACATTGCACCAAAAACCAGACATTTGCAGCTAGAATAGTCATTTACCACATAAGCAATGTATTTCTTTACAGTTAAGACTAGTTTAAAGTTGAGTGTTGAGGGGTTTATAAATAAAATGTGATTGTAAAAAGTCCAGACAAATTGTCATTCTTTTTCATGTGACATGTTCAATGTTTAATTTGTATCTTACATTCTGGTGTGCAAAATAATGTTAACTGTGCAAATGTAAACAGGCCTTATTCGAAGTTCAACATTGTAGTTTTACACAATTTACAACACAATTTATTCTTGTATGGCCCTACTTCACAACAGCAGTCATCTCAGACGACTCAAAACCATCAAAATCAACACAGATCAGAGATTCAACAGTTACGACACAAAGAATACACATAGTTATTGGTCCATAAGGAGACCAAAAAACAAAATAAAAACCTAGTGGGAGAAAGTGCGAAACCTCGGGTTCCGCTCCACACGGACAGACAGGCTATGGATCCAGGACCGAAGCTACAAGGTCCTGGATCTACAACCTCTCCGTCCAAGTTTTAACTCTTTAAGCGCCAAAGTCGCAATATTGAGACAAGCAACATTGCTCACTTAAACAGGCTGTATGTAAAAATGTGGTGCAGAATCTTGTTAATACTTTTCACCAGGGGTTAGTGGACATGTGTGCCTGTGATATGAGCAGCATTTGTGGGTGTGGCTATATTAAAAGTTTTTGAGTAAATTGAGTTTGTAAAACACCTGCGGCGCAGCGGCGCGGAGGCGAAGCAGCAGCGGTAGAGCTGAGAGGAGCGAGAGCAGAGCAGAGGGAGAGAGGGTTTTTTATTTACTCACGAGGTCTTCAGTACCAGAGAAGTACTTGGTCTGGTACTGGCTCACTCAGATTCAGAGGAGGAAGACACACAGGTGTCCAGTGAAGCAGACACGGACATTATTGGTGACGGGGAGACCGCGCTCCATATAGTCCACAATCAGCCCCTGTACAGCGGCTGCTTGTCCTCCGTGTGGCCGCGGTAGAAGCATTCTGTGAACACCAAGCAGGATCCGTGGTGGAGGGGACAGGGGCATCATAACACCGGGCATGTGGGAGAAAGTAGTGGGGGTAGACATCCACGGGGAACACGGGGAACACGGGAGAAGTCGCGGGAGGAGCCGCGGGAAAAAAACACATTGCTAATCGCGTTCACTGCCTTTACCAACAGCGATGATGAGGATGAAGGCAGTTCTTGAGAGAAAATAATCCACAAAAGTGGATCAGAAGTGTTGAAGAGCCTGTTGTTTCTTGTTGAGACGATCTGACATGTTCTGTGCCCATTCATTTCATCTCTCTGTTTCTAAACGATAAATCTTGGAGCTTCATTTCCACTGAGAAAAATAGTATGCTCACCACTTCTTTGAAAGGGAAATATTGAAACCAATCTCTAGATTTCATGACTGTAAACTATAAAGAGTGCTGTCTTGATCACTGAAGGTCTTTGAAAATAATACAATTCCATATGGCCGCGAACCAGTGCTAAAACATTATCTATAATCAGGATCAGGGAATTTATTTCTATCCCAAATTCATTTCATACTAAAGATATTTCACATTGACTGTTTGTAGTATTCCCTGATCTCAAATAACTCCCAAGCTACAGCTTTTTGAAGTCTTTATACAATAATTCACATTTTCCAAATTGGCCGCCACCTTGATGACGTCACAATATGCAAATTAGATGACGGATCAACTTCCATCCCAAAGTTGCGCCTAAACGGTTAACATTATTAGCATTAATAGCACTCAATTAGCACCGTGGGCAGCACGGTGGCTGAGTGGATAGCACTCTCAGCAAGAAGGTCCTGGGTTCGAATCCCGGTCGGACCAGGGCCTTTCTGAGTGGAGTTTGCATGTTTCCTCCGGGTGCTCCGTTTTCCCCTACCACTAAAAATATGTACAATAGTTCTGGCATGCGCCTCCTGTTCGGCGACCCCGCTCCCATCTCTGTGTGGAGTGAGAGGACAAGTGCCCAAAAAAATAATAACAATTGTAAACTGCTTTGTGACTCTGGTCTGTGAAAGGCGGTATATAAATAAAGATTACTTACTACTTACTCAGTTGACAGTAAGCTAATGTTGAAATTTAGCGATGCATATATGGAAACTTCTCACAGCCTTAAGCCTAGTGTATAGTGGCGCAGAGTTTACGGTGGTGACGTGACGTCACCTTCGCAACACGTGGACCACCGCAAGGCCCTTACGTAACCTGCCGCGCACCCTCAAACATTTCTAAAGTTCTGTGTACACTCGCGCGCCGTTGGTTGTGGTTACGTTGGACCTGTGAGATTACAACATTCTAATCAAAACTCTGTAAGGGGAACGCGCTAGTATACCGCCAACTGTGGATACTTACGAGTCTACGAGTGTACACAGGCCTTTACACTTGTACTCTCAATATACCAGTATATGTATGGTGAACTTACATATGAAATGACTCAATATTTTTATACTTGGAGTCCTGCAGTAAATTCTTGGGGAAACGACTTTCTATGCTCTGGAGGTTCTGAAGGGCCTCCTGGTTCCTGGGGCAATAGAGCAGTCCATTCTGGCTCTCGTGGTATAGCACATTGACCTCCTGGATGACCATGGGGAACTCATCCATCCACTGAGTCTGCTTCAGCACCTGGTCTGGTTTGCGGGTGTGATGCAACAGAACTAGAACCACTGGTTTATCTTGAGCTCCATCTGTCAACACAACCCACATGTTTAAGTTCATGTTAGTTTTTTGTATGTTTCAAAGCTTTACAGACTATTGTAGTGTGAAGGCACCTATTATTGAGGTGTTGTTTTGGGATGTATTCACTATGAACTCTTGTCATAGTGATCTTGGAACTCTGATGATGAGCTCAGCTCAGGGTACTTTTTATGGAATTATTTTGTTTTCTCGCTGTATCTATGCACTGACCACAACAATAGTCATTTGTTGCAGTAGTTGTACATGGGTATTAATAAGTTTTACTATACTTTTCAGTCAATATTTGCGTTCTTCTTACAGTGTGACATCATGTCATTTCATGTGATTTAAATACCTATAACCACTTGGCACTAAGATAAGATAGACTTTATTGATGTCACACTGGCATCGATAGTCACTCAGAGTGTGCAAACATGTTAAAGGTTAAAAATATAGTCTGTGCAGGATATAATTATGTACAATAAAAAAGAAGCAATAGAAGTGCAGGTTTTTTCAGTCCTAGTGCATTAGTGACTTAAAGTGACTTGTCTGACAGCGGTGGGGATAAAGGCCCTGACTACTTGCCCTTTAGAGGGTCTCTATACATTTTCTATCAGTGCCAAGTATCTTTTCTTTTGTTCTTTGTAAGTATTTTTAGTTCTTCAGAGCTCCCCCTGTGGTGCAGGAAGGGATTCAGACACAGCTCTATCAACTGTTGATCTCCAAAGCTGATGATGTAGCATACATTCCTGCTTCCTGGTGTGTTCATGTGAACAGCAGAGAGAAGGAGAGACCAAGGAGAGCAGGGAATACACAGGACTTCATATGTGAGTAAGAACTCCTGTGTATAGAGAGTTTATGAACATACAGTATTCTATCAAGATTTAGTAGGAATGTTCTAGTCAGAGTAGAGAGCTTCGATCATCACGAGTCAAAAGTGATCATGTCATGACGCTCTTCTATCGGTTTGTTTGATGAAACCTGCAGCTTCTATTCAAGTGCCACCTATATATACTTTCCCTCAATAATACCTTCCCCAGCATTTAATTAAATTAAAAATATTGTTTTTGTCTTGTTTCCTTGAATCAACAAACCTGGAATCTTCCTGAAAGCAGACTCTACATCAGAGCGGACCCGCGACAGGATCGGACAGAAGAGCAGGATGACGTCACACTGCTGCACGTCCTCAGTGACAGAGATGCTCAACGGGCCTTTGTTCAGGTGGTCCAGGATCTGCTGGTGAGCCTGGAACGTCTGACCAGTGATGAGGAGATACGCGACCACTTTCTTCTTTTTAGCTGGTGGAGGGTTGGACTGGGAGGGAACTGGTTCTATACAAAGGTTTTAAAAACACAGATCAGTGTTCACAAAAACAATGGACTTAAAGGAGAAGTAACATGCTTCTGTCTGCTCTGTGGATAGAATTTAAATCTCCATATTGAGCTAAAATCATAATGTGAAAGAAACAAGATGGGTCTGTGCTCTTCCCTTGTGTGCAGAGAAGTGATTCATCGCACTAATTTATTTAATAGGTTTAATTTCACATTCTAGAATTTACAAACATTAACAACATTTATGACTTCAGGGTTGATTCATGACACCGTCATTTATCACACCCTGCAAGCATGGGTGTTCCCTGGCTAAGTTTGATTAATCATACTTTTTTTGTCAAATACAATTGTTTTCATTGTTTGGTAAGTTGCAACTATAACTGACTGAACCCTCATTCAAATTGAGTAAGAGCTCAATTATTATTTTTTTTCATAAAATAAATGAAATGTTTTTTTTCTTGAGGATTAGTTTTATATATTATTTTTTGTAAATATTGTCAGAGGGCACTAAAAAAATGGGTTGTGTGTTCGAGTTTCATATCATTGAGCTGTTTGCGACCTCTAGTGGCTGATCAGGTCCAATGCATCTTCACTATCATCTTAAAGTAGCAGTATGTAATATTTGCATGTCAAGTCATCATTAAATGGCCCCAATATTTCAAAAGGCATTAATAAATCATGCTCTTTTCAAATACATCTTTAACTGAAAACAGTAGTTCAGAGATATTTGAATATCAAAATTAGTTTTACGACCCATAAAAGTTGTTATTGTTTTAATTTTGATGTCCTGCCCTCCACCGTTTCGCCAATAAGGAAGTCCCATGGAAGTCCGTGATCGGGTTGCCAGAACTCTGCGAGGCTAATCTCACTGGTAAAATAACATGTGGCGCAGAACTAAAAAAGGTCTTGTTATGACTCTCAAAACCTTAATGACAAAACAAAGACTAAAACAAGGATTTATATCGGGACACCTTTGAACAATTGAGACGGTGGATAAAACTTTTTTTGTGATGCAAAACTTGCTGCTCTCAATGCCTTCTGCATCCAGCATCAGTTATCGTGTGACGGTGGTCTAGTGTGACGGTGGTCTAGTGTGACGGTGGTCTAGTGTGACGGTGGTCTAGTTGGACGTGGTCTCGTGTGACGGTGGTCTAGTGTGACGGTGGTCTAGTGTGACGGTGGTCTAGTTGGACGGTGGTCTAGTGTGACGGTGGTATAGTGTGACGGTGGTCTACGGTGGTCTAGTGTGACGGTGGTCTAGTGTGAAGGTGGTCTCGTGTGACGGTGGTCTAGTTGGACGTGGTCTCGGTGTGACGGTGGTCTAGTGTGACGGTGGTCTAGTGTGACGGTGGTCTTGTGTGACGTGGTCTCGTGTGACGGTGGTCTAGTGTGACGGTGGTCTATGGTGGTCTACGGTGGTCTAGTGTGACGGTGGTCTAGTGTGACGGTGGTCTAGTGTGACGGTGGTCTAGTGTGACGGTGGTCTAGTGTGACGGTGGTCTCATGTGACGGTGGTCTCGTGTGACGGTGGTCTCGTGTGACGGTGGTCTACGGTGGTCTAGTGTGACGGGGGTCTAGTGTGACGGTGGTCTAGTGTGACGGTGGTCTAGTGTGACGGTGGTCTCGTGTGACGGTGGTCTCGTGTGACGGTGGTCTAGTGTGACGGTGGTCTCGTGTGACGGTGGTCTCGTGTGACGGTGGTCTAGTGTGACGGTGGTCTCGTGTGACGGTGGTCTAGTGTGACGGTGGTCTAGTGTGACGGTGGTGTAATGTGACGGTGGTCTCGTGTGACGGTGGTCTAGTGTGACGGTGGTTTAGTGTGACGGTGGTCTAGTGTGACGGTGGTCTAGTGTGACGGTGGTCTACTGTAGTGTGACGGTGGTCTAGTGTGACGGTGGTCTCGTGTGACAGTTGTCTAGTGTGACGGTGGTCTAGTGTGACGGTGGTCTAATGTGACGGTGGTCTCGTGTGACAGTTGTCTAGTGTGACGGTGGTCTAGTGTGACGGTGGTCTAGTGTGACGGTGGTCTAGTGTGACGGTGGTCTACGGTGGTCTAGTGTGACGGTGGTCTAGTGGTTAAGCCAATGCACATACATTCCAGCGACCTGGGTTTGAGTCCGGGGGGAGTCAGAGCGCAGTTAATGGCATATAACCACATTCTACTACAGATTACTCCAAAAACAGTTAAAGACGAAGATCATGTGTTTTGCAGATTATAGCTTAATTGTAAAAAGAATCATTTGAGACCACATGTACCCAATTAAAATAATGTTAGTCTCTTTTTGATGTGGGACTTATACATGTCTAAAAAATAGGGAATAAATAAAATTGAAGGGTATATCCTCTGGAGGAAACCCTGATGTTGATACGCTGAAGAAATATGTTCCAACATCCATTCTTCCCACTCCTATTGTGGACATAAATTGCTTATTCATTTTGAATAATCTATGTATAATTAAGTTGATTTTATTTTGTCTTTCTCATCTAAAATGTCCAAATAAAAAAAAAAAAAAAAAACAACATTAATTCTAAACATTAGCACTGCTCATGGCAATGTGAGAGACAGACAAACAACTGATAAAATAATTCCCTGTGTTTGCTGCTGGATTTGGTGTGTATCTGGCAACCTGAGGACTACAAAATATTGACTGAGACTGCAGTACCACTTTTGGCCAGATTTTTACACAATGTTTTGTTTAATACTATAAATTGGCATTAACAAAATGTGGAACTTAGGCATATGTCTACATTGGGTACAGTTTGACTACACTAGTTGCTAGCTGAGTGTTGGCACTTCCAATGAAAAACAAATCTGCAAAGATCGGCGAAATCACTCAAAGACTTTAATAACCGGCCGATTTAATCAGAAAACCAATGAAGTGGTCGGTGCCAACACAAAACTAAGATACTGTATCCGTCTTCCACCTGGTATAGAAAGTTTCCATAAGTTTGGTTATAAAATAAAGATGCTCTGTTATCACACAAAACAAATGTTATTATTTTCAAAGCTAAGATAAAATGTGACCAAAATGGCCGGTCTTTCTCACCTGGTGGCAGAAGAGTGTGAATGATTGTTGCAAAGGCCTCTTGTTGTTCTATCGGAGCACTTTGCATCACCTCCAGAGCCTCTACAAAACACGTCAAAATGGTTAAAGAAGAATGGACCGTTCTTTGTGTGCGCGTGTGTTAAATTAGGACTTAAATAATGTGTGTAGATCAGTGGGGGCGGGTCCTGGCTCAAATGTGGCCAAAATGACGTGCACTGACATGCTTTCAATACCACCCCGGGCCGATGGGGGTGGATCCAGAAGTAGAATTAGCCATGCCAATGCTATATGCTAACATATAGCATCGGCAGACCTCTCAAAAACGTCTTTACAGGATGGTCCAAAAGTTGTCTCTTGGCCCAAAGCTCCGTTCCACATGTGTGTCAATGCTGAGTGGGGTGGATTGTTTTGGTCCACTCTAGTTTACTCGCTGTGAATTTTTGAAGTCTCTCGTTCAAATGAATGGAGCTGCGCCGGCTGACGCATGCGCAGATGCGTTTTTTCACAATTTTCTTGTGGGCGGGACCACTCGCGGCCATCTTGGATTGCTCCATGAAAGCACTTTTCATGGCCAACTCCTATGAACGGCGGAGATAGGCGTGACTCTGTCCGTTAATATATAAAGTCTATGGTGTAGATGGGATTCTTCCTTACATCTTGTACCTCTCTACATTGGAGCCTTTCCAGACTCAGTATCCGACCCTTGACCTTAGCCCTGTTCTATTGTTTTTAATGAGGGAATTTCTGCCTTGTCACTTGTCTGCGGACTGGACAGGTTTGTTTGGGTGCAGAATGGAGTCTGGGGTGGAACCATAAGTGCTGGTGTTTAGAAGAATCCATTTAGATTGAGAGATGACCTGTGGTGTTGGTGCGGTATGAGCTCTCCGAAATTGCAGTTTGTTTCTTTTCTGAAAGCGATAACAGTGATTTGATTCTGCAGCTTTGCATTTGTTATCAAAAGAAATCAGCAAGAAATAAACCAAACTGAATAGGTTTTATCTTAACCCTGAAATGGTTTCCTCAACCATGTGGTAGATCACCTTTGAGTCACTTTATCTACTTTAAGCTTGGAACTGAGATATACCTCTTTGGGGCATCTCACTTGGTTTTAGCCACTTTTACCATAAAACTGCATCTCCAACATTTGATAAAGGTCTATAATTAAAAATACAAGATGTTGTACTCCTACATCTTAGAAAATACAAAAAAGAAAAAATACACTGCTTGGTCCGTGTACTTTTGCGTTCAGTGATTTTTTTTTGTGAAGGGAAATGGAAAATCAAAAAAAGGCTATTTTGCATTTTCAGGCACACAGCAATATACAAAAATGACCATTTTGCTTTTTTCATTGCTTATAAGACGTATATATATTATAATAACCGGATTTGGGAACTAGAAAATGCAATAATTCACCTTTTTTTATTATGTATTTAATACATTTCGGCATCAATCGATTACCCGGAAGTGAAACAAGTTTGTTTACTCGCACGGGATTAGTATTACCCTTACCTTTATAGATCCATGGTATTACCCGTGGACCCCTGATAATGTACAAATACAGGAGGTCATTTGCGTATTTAATTATACAAAATTAGAGAAAATATGGCTGAAGTAAACAAACTTGTTTCACTTCCGGGTAATCGATTGATGCCAAAATGTATAAAATACATAATTTTTTTGTATATTGCTGTGTGCCTGAAAATGCAAAATAGCCTTTTTTCAATTTTCCATTTCCCTTGTATTGAAAATGTATTGAACGCAAAAGTACACGGACCCTGCTTTCTTCAAGGAGTGAACATTACACATTAAATGCCAAATAAAACATGTTAATTTCACTTACTTTGATACCCATCATATTTGCTGCGTTTTTTCAGATCTTCAAACAGAATCTGTGAAATGCACAAAATACTTTCAGAGCTGGTTCACAGAACACAGCAGTGGTTTTAGACGAGAGGCAGCGTACATTCAGATCCTGTGAATAATGTGAAGAGGTTTCTCCACATTTCTCTTTGGAACGACCTGTTGGAGTAAAATCAAACTGAAGACATGGAGCCTCTCGCCACCAGGGGGGGCTATTGGGCATGTTAAGTCACAAGAACACAATTTATATTAGATGTACCCAAGAAATCTATACTGCAAAATTAATTCTATCAATGGTTCATTTGACGATCAACATTGTAATATTATGATAATCATTATTTTTGGATTATAATATTTATTGCTGAAAATAACTACTCATTACAATTGACTAAGTAACAAAATTCTAAAGTATATTCTTATGGCCACAATATTGTTTGTAAACTGAGCTGCAACAAATGAATAAAAAAGGAGACATACAAATACATACAAATAAGATCATTATTTGGTCAGGACAAGCAAAAAGCATGTAAAACACAAGCTAGTTTATCTATCCAAGCAAGAGCAATGTTTTTACCTGATTTAAAGGGATTCGGGATTGAAATGGACAGAAACTCGCTCATGATCCAGAGAAGAGTCGGTGCTGAGCAGAAGTCTGAGAGGCTGAAAATGAAAGTCAGAATACTGCTGCTGCTGCTCTGGACTCAGTCTGAGGCTCCTCCCTCTGGCTCAGATCCTATTATCACACAATACGAAACAATTTCACTTTAAGATTTAAAACATATTTCCATGTTTGGTTGTGCTCCATTTCAACCTGATTTGAAAGTACCCAATGAAAAAAGTGCATATGACTTTATCAACAATGTATGTTGTAAATATCTTCAGTAAAAAAATGACAATGAAAAGCCAATTGTAATCAAACTCATTTTGTGTGTTAACTTATTCACAATATTCATATTATAGATATGTTTGTGTCTAAATCATGTTCTTTAAAGAACATAATACTGTTGTATTCAAATTATACTAATAATGCTGATGCCTGTTTTACATAAAACATGAAATGCAAAAGGGAAAAAAACGTGTTTACTGTTGAAAAACATTGACTTGATTTTGCTCCTTTTGGGAAACATTTCTGTTGAGGAAACAAAAAAGTGAAGGATATTTATCATACAAATGTAAAGGCACACTGCACTGTCTACAATATGTTGAGATTTAAAAGTATAAAACAGAGACAATATGGTGAGCATCTCTATCATGGAATTGTGTGTTTGTTTCTAGATGCCCTGAACATTACATTGAGTAGTTTTAAAGTTGATCAAGTCCTGCAGTTTAAATTCTGTTGATTCCATGAACAGTGGGTTTAAGAATGTGAACATTAGACACAATCCCAAGGTTTTTTGCACGGTGAATAACGGCTTTCAGTGAGCATTATTATAGTCCCTAATTGCCTCTTGCAAAAATCAATGCCCTTGTATAAGCCCACTGTCTGCTTTTACTTTCACTTTCATTTTGACTAATGTGTCGAAACCCCTCGGGGTCCTTCTGTTCCCGTAAATACCAGACTTTCAAGAAATCGCCTCGCACACTTTCACTTTTGGTTTTGGGCTTAGGGGGGCTTATAAAAGAGGAAGAACAGAAGCAGAGACTGTAAAGAAGATATTCAAGAGCATCAGCATCAGGTAACAGCAGCACGACTGTCCAGTATGTTGCTTATGTTATTCAGGTAATTTTCCTTTTTACTTAGATTTGACACAATCATGGGACAACCACAGACCAAAGAAGGTAAGTGATTATTATAACATAATTATTGAGTGTGTAATTTAATGGCCACCAGAATGCGTGTCTGCTGTCAAACAATAGTATGTCTGAAACCACTGAATGACATCATTATGAAAGGCTGGATACCTAACTTGTTTTGTTCTATATATAGCACATGTTGGTCCCACAGAAAGACTAAAGTATAACATTCAATTCCACGGCATGCTGTCTTCAACTCATTATAAAACATGTTTTCTTTTGTATATTTGAAAGAAAGAGCCACTGTGATTCACGATTTGACTCTGAGAGCTGTGGTTCTCTGTTTTTCTCTGTTCTGTCTGAAAAGTCTGATCCAAAAGTGACAGGCTAATAATACATGCATGTAAAAACTAGTGATAGATAACGGATATACTGTAGCTACATGGACACTCCAACCGAACTAATTGTTTCTTTGGTTTGAAAGTTAATTAAACTCGTGCAAATTGAATAGAAAAAATATATCAGAAAGTGCACTTTATAATGGATCAGTTTTATATAGCGCTTTTTTGGACACTCAAAGACGCTTTACACGTCATTACTCATTCACTCCAAACACGGTGTGTTCAGGTTTGTATATAGGACCACAGAGCAGACAGAGATTGAGAGTAGTTCCAAAAAAAGGTTCATTGCACAGAAGGTTGGGTGGTGAGACAGGAGGCAGGCTTGGCTGGTCAAGGAGGCGGACCTGAACACAGGATAAAAAATTGTGAGTCGAAAGGACAAAAAACACGAGCTGGACAAAAACCACTGACGTGTTCTGACGTGAGACGTGGAATAATCTGGCAGCAAAGTGAAGTGGAAACCAGGCTTTGGAACACAGAAGATGATTAGTGGATGGAAGATGAGCCACGCCCCCGTCACACTCACTCTGCAGAGAAAACAAAGGGAGGGAGAGCAGAACAAACAGATCCCTAACACAGTGGTAATAAATTACTACAGTAGCCACAGCTGCCCTGGGGCACACTGACAGAGCGAGGCAACCAGTCTGTGCCATCGGCCCCTCCCACCACCACCAACCATTCACACACACACCAGACTCATTCTAATGTGGGGGAAGGACACAACGGTAGTTTGGCACATGCGATTTGGATCAAATGTTTGTTCTGAACCCTTGTGCAACTATAAATGTTGCTCCTTGTCAAGTCAATCCTCAATCACATGTGTCACATACAGACCTAAGGAGCAAAGCAAGACGTCCCAAAACAAGGTTTATAAAGTTACTTTTGTAAGATTTACAGTAATGTGTTCCTTTTTGAATAAATTCACTGTAACTTTTTACAACAGCAAAAAGATAAAGTTTCTCTTTTTTTTCTCACTGTTTGTAATTTATTTGCAAACCACCACCTCCATCCATCCATCCATCCATCCATCCATTTTCTACCCTTTAATCCATTTCTGGGTCAGGGGGGTGGCAGTCAGAGATGCCACCCAAGTCTCATAGCACCAGCCCCTCACTGACCCTCTGCAGGTGGTGAGTCCACAGGAGGACGGCTGCTCTCTGACTGTGAGCATAGCCTTGATCTTTCAGTGGGGGCTTTGGGCAAAGTGGGGTTAAGTGTCTTGCCCAAGGACACAACGACAGCAGTCATCAGTGGGAGTCGGTGGAGAAGGTGCAGAGGTGGGAATTGAACCCACGACCTTCTGGGCTTAAGGCCAATGCTCTACCAACTGAGCTACTGTCGCCCGCTAAACCACCACCTAGTATCTGAAATACAACTTGAATGTCATTGGTCTATCAGTGTGATATAATCACACATTATTACCTTACATTTTTAAAACAGTATGAGTATATTACTATTCTTATTATTCTTATTATGATATTAGGATTTCTCTAGTATTTAAATGTATATTTAGTAGTAGTGCATTTCTGGTGTATGTGTCCCATTGAGACAATGATTCTCATTGGCCCTTATTTATGAAACTTGCGCAGTAAAGGGTGTACATTTTGGGTGCATATTCCAAATATGCAACATCCAACGCAGGATTTATGAACGTGCTGTTAATAAATGCCGCGGCTGAAAATGAACGTGTTTATGAACGTCACGCCCAGAAATATGCAGCAACTGACCTTTTCACGCCTCAAAAAAGCCTCAAAGTGGCATCAAGTGGGCTCAAAAAACTAAATATGGAAAGAAATGACAACATCTGTAAACAGCATGGGGCCTGTAACACGCACTCCTGCAGAGGTGAGTTTAATGAAGCTTAAGCCCAAATTCAGACTGGGATGACCTCATGCTGCAGTTCTCACCCCATCCAGGGCCAGCCTATCGAGCCTCAGCCAATCACACAGCTCTGCCAGCCACTGACGGCAAAGCAGGCAGTTTAAAAGCAGCCACCTCCTACTAACCAGCCCTTCCTGAAGATCTTGACACCCACCACCTCCCTAGCACCTCCTCAAGCCCCTGCTCCGGCTCCTGCTCCACCTTCACCCCATTCGCACCATGCCTCTTGGCCCCTGAGGATCTGAGATCATCTTCAGCAGCAATGATCTTCCCTCTGCAAGTGTCACTGCCAGGGTCAATGCTACAAAAAAAAATCTTTCTAAATGTACAGTGCCTTGCGAAAGTATTCGGCCCCCTTGAACCTTTCAACATTTTGCCACATTTCAGGCTTCAAACATAAAGACATAAAAATTTAATTTTTTGTCATGAATCAACAACAAGTGGGACACAATTGTGAAGTGGAATCAAATTTATTGGATAATTTAAACTTTTTTAACAAATAAAAAACTGAAAAGTGGGGCGTGCAATATTATTGGGCCCCTTTACTTTCAGTGCAGCAAACTCAGTCCAGAAGTTCAGTGAGGATCTTTGAATGATCCAATGTTGTCCTAAATGACTGATGATGATAAATAGAATGCACCTGTGTGTAATCAAGTCTCCGTATAAATGCACCTGCTCTTTGATAGTCTCAGGGTTCTGTTTAAAGCGCAGAGAGAACCATGAAGACAAAGGAACACACCAGGCAGGTCCGAGATACTGTTGTGGAGAAGTTTAAATCCGGATTTGGATACAAAAAGCTTTCCCAAGCTTTAAACATCTCAAGGAGCACTGTGCAAGCAATTATATTGAAATGGAAGGAGTATCAGACCACTGCAAATCTACCAAGACCCAGCCGTCCCTCCAAACTTTCATCTCAAACAAGGAGAAGACTGATCAGAGATGCAGCCAAGAGGCCCATGATCACTCTAGATGAACTGCAGATAACTACAGCTGAGGTGGGGATGGTGTGTTCAGGGTGATGAGCTGTGTTGCTTTTACGCCAAACATATCGTTTTGCATTGTGGCCAAAAAGTTTGATTTTGGTTTCATCTGACCAGAGCACCTTCTTCCACATGTTTGGTGTGTCTCCCAGGTGGCTTGTGGCAAACTTTAAGAGACTTTTATTGGATATCTTTGAGAAATGGCCACTCTTCCATAAAGGCCAGATTTGTGCAGTGCACGACTGATTGTTGTCCTATGGACAGACTCTCCCACCTCAGCTGTAGTTATCTGCAGTTCATCCAGAGTGATCATGGGCCTCTTGGCTGCATCTCTGATCAGTCTTCTCCTTGTTTGAGATGAAAGTTTGGAGGGACGGCCGGGTCTTGGTAGATTTGCAGTGGTCTGATACTCCTTCCATTTCAATATAATTGCTTGCACAGTGCTCCTTGATGTTCAAAGCTTGGGAAATCTTTTTGTATCCAAATCCGGCTTTAAACTTCTCCACAACAGTATCTTGGACCTGCCTGGTGTGTTCCTTTGTCTTCATGGTTCTCTCTGCGCTTTAAACAGAACCCTGAGACTATCAAAGAGCAGGTGCATTTATACGGAGACTTGATTACACACAGGTGCATTCTATTTATCATCATCAGTCATTTAGGACAACATTGGATCATTCAAAGATCCTCACTGAACTTCTGGACTGAGTTTGCTGCACTGAAAGTAAAGGGGCCGAATAATATTGCACACCCCACTTTTCAGTTTTTTATTTGTTAAAAAAGTTTAAATTATCCAACAAATTTCGTTCCTCTTCACGACTGTGTCCCACTTTTTGTTGATTCATGACAAAAAATTAAAATTTTATATCTTTATGTTTGAAGACTGAAATGTGGCAAAATGTTGAAAGGTTCAAGGGGGCCGAATACTTTCGCAAGGCACTGTATTGATGTGTCT